TGATTTGAAACGCTGCTAGTGACTGAAGTTTGTGTAAAGGTGCTCTCTGCATTGTTGCATGTCTGTGTTTGTGCTGAGGTAATATTAGGTAGATTTACACAAAGCAAAGTCGAGCTGTGGTACGTTGGCAAGTAAGCAAGTGTGATGCTGCATTGTCATCTCATGTTGTTAACGTGTATTTCTCTCTCTCTTTGTCCCTCCTTCCTCGTCGCTGCTTGGGATCACTGTGCTAATCAGGACATATCTTCTGGATGGGTTAATATCACTTAAACTTTTATTATGATTAAGTGTGTGTGGGTGTGAAAGTGATGTAGGATGTGAAAGTAAATCTTGATCTCAAAGGTGTGTGATGTTTAGAAATGATCTCCTTCCATGTTTTTGTGTGCTGTCTAATCTCTAGTTCTTCCTGCCCCATCCTCTTCTGAATAGCATATCAGTGTCTATCAGTAACAAATTGCTGATAATCTTTCTGGGAGGTCAACCTCTTTCAAGGATTGCTTTTGTTTCTGGGGCTTTCTCTTATCCCCATAGTGCCCTTAGGGCTGTGACCTCATGCACTTAGGTTTAAAAGAATAGCACACTGAGCCCTGGTGTGCTCAGCAGCACCTAGCTACTCCACTAACACTCCTCACTCAGTCCTTGAACTTTAAGCACCAGGCAGCTCTGCTTTCAAGCAGTAGTCTGTTCCCGTGTACGACAGGTAAGGAAACTGCAAACAGTTTGAATCCATAATCTGCTACAAATTAAAATGCCTGCTCACACATGCGGCACCTTTTTATAATTAGACAGATGAGCTGTCAGTGGAGGATGAATAGGGCCAATCTGTGAGCGTATTGTGATGTCTAGCAGTGCAGTCAATCTACACCAAACTCTGGAGTTACAAAAAAACGAAACAACGATGGAAGAGCCAAAAAGTGTAGTTCCTCTAATGGCCACTTGAGTCTGCTTCCACAGACTACCAATTTTACAGCAGAAATATACACGTTTACCTGGAAGCACGAACCATTTTCGTCTCTGAATAGTTTCAGAGGTTCTTGGTCTTCTACATTGGCACTGTCAAAGTAACAAAGTGAAACATCAATGCAAGAATTACCTCATAGTTAGTCTTTGATTTTAATGTGTTGTGGCTGATGAATGTATATTCACACAAACATGCAGTGACTTTAGGGCCCACATCATTCCCTGTAACAGAAAACTGATGATCCGCTGCAGTTTTCACTCCTCTTTGCATGGTTTGGATTATCATTAAATTTATATTATGAAAGCTGCTCTTCTATGTGGCAGTTAAGTCGGCATAAAAACGCTCAACTTTCAAATGGGAGGAAAACAGTTTGATCTTAGAGGTGATGGACAAAATTACACATTAAAGACGCTGAATTATTTGGATCTGCAAACACTGTTTGGTGCATCATTTAGAGTGGTTTTTGTGGGAACACTGGGTGTAGAAGAGTGTGTGTAATCCTATTAACAGAGTGTGTGTGAGATTGATTCCAAACATTATCTGTTTCTGCTTTTATAATAACTCCTTGTTGCTGTCAGGTCATGTATGGTGGAAGAGTCTGGTACCCTTGAATCCCAACTGGAGGCCACCAAGGTAAATACTACTTTTACTGTTAAAGTCACATCAAGGGATAAGTGTGAGGGGTTCAAGGCTGTCTTCACACAGTATGACAACAGACCATGGCCCAAGGCAGAGGGGATATACACCTATACGTTTCAGGCTTCACTTTGTATGGGGTGATGGTATGCACTGCCCAACTGAAATGTTGATCTGTTACTTTGCTTGTAATGTACTGACCACTCAAAGCATTTTAAAGTACAAATCGCATTTTACACTCCTTTCTTCTAGACTCTTACATCCATGATCAATTCAAATTTTTATATAGTGCACTAAATCACAACAGCAATCGTCTCAATGCGCTTTATATTTTAAGTTGGAGACCCTACAATAATACAGAGAAAATCCCAACAATTATACGACCAACAGGGGGAAAGAAAAGCTTCCTTTTAACTGGAAATAACCTTTGGCAGAATCGGGCTCAGGAAGGGGCGCCCATCTGCCGCCACCAATTGGGGGCAAGGGGAGGAAGACGGGACAAATACACACCATGGAAGAAACTGTGACCAAGTTAGTTTGTATACAACTGGGCTATTATTCACCACAGTGATGAAGTTCCCCTTTGTTTTGATGCCATACAGGATACTTTCATGACATGATTTGATTTGCTGATGCCAACACTAGAGCCTTTGAATAAATTGACAGGTTAGCGATTAAAATGTTTTCTCAACTTTTAAATGCAAGGGCTTAATACCATTCTACCCCAAAAATTTCTGTTCTGGTTCTGCCTGAAGTTTCTTCCTGTTAAAAAGGAGTTTTTCTTCTTCCCACTGTCACAAAGTGCTCATGGATAGGTTGTTTGATTTTTGGGGTTTTCTTACTATTATTACAGCAGGGGTGTCGAATCCCAGGCCTCAAGGGCCGGTGTCCTGCAGGTTTTAAGACCCTGGGTCAACACACCTGAATCAAATGATTAGTTTATTACCAGGCTTCTGGAGAACTTCAAGACATGTTGAGGAGGTAATTTAGCCATTTAAATCAGCTGTGTTGGATCAAGGACACATCTAAAACCTGCGGGACACCGGCCCTTGAGGCCTGGAGTTCGACACCTTTGTATACACGTTCTTCACTTTACAACAGGGGTCTCAAACTCCAGTCCTCGAGACCTGGTGTCCTGCAACTTTTCCACGTGTCCCTGTTGCAATAAGTGGCAGTTCAGCCATTTGATTCATGTTACAGCAGCTCATGAGTGAATGAACAGTGCAATAAAAGTACACTTAAATTTATTTGAGTAGTGTTAGGGGTTGCCACTTCAGCATGCAGTCAAGTTCTGTACTCTTGCTAATGACCTACTGATTTTATTCAGGTATTTTGCAACAGGGACACATGGAAAAGTTGCAGGACACCAGCCCTCAAGGACTGGAGTTTGAGGCCCCTGCCTTACAATATAAGGCCCCTTGACACTGTTGGTGATTTGGTAAATCATCATTAAAAAGAAAAGAAAGAAAAGCAGAAGTAATAAGCAGCTATTTAACTGCTAATGAACTCACAACTTCGCTTGTGAGTTACTCATTGATGTCACTAGATATAGATTTCCTAGTCACTCCAGTAATGATGCACACTCACTGTCAAGTCTTTAAGCAAGATGGGCATGTTAGTTTCCCCTTAATTATGCTTATTGTTCAAAATTAGGTTGATAATAAACACAGACTAAAATCATTGCACAGTTGTTTGCAGCTTTTATTGAGGGGTGTGTGTGTGTGTGCACAGCGTAAGCACCAGGAGATCCGTGCTATGCGCAGCCAGCTGAAGAAGATTGAAGACTTGGGTGCAGCTATGGAAGAGGCACTGATCTTGGACAATAAGTATACAGAGCATAGCACAGTGGGCTTGGCCCAGCAGTGGGACCAATTGGACCAACTGGGAATGAGGATGCAGCACAACCTGGAACAACAGATACAGGCCAGGTATACAGTGCAACAGTAACTGCATGTCACTGAAGTGATGTGAATCTCAAACACTCTACTGCTTTTACAGTTGCTGCGTGAAATGCATGTTTCTTTTTATTCTTCCTCTTTCAGAAATACCACTGGAGTGACAGAAGAGGCTCTGAAGGAATTCAGTATGATGTTCAAGTAAGTGGTTCTCTCCTGACTGCATTAGGTCTTTCTGTGTCACGGTCAAAATCCTTATCTTCACCCATTTCTTTGTAGACACTTTGACAAAGAGAAGTCTGGCCGTCTGAACCACCAAGAGTTCAAGTCATGTCTCCGCTCACTGGGCTATGATTTGCCCATGGTGGAAGAGGGAGAACCTGATCCTGAGTTTGAGGCCATACTCGACACTGTGGATCCCAATAGGTCTGTTGCATTTAGAGATCATTTATCCAATCCATATTAATTACCAGTGTCTTAGAAGACAGCACGCACTCACTGCAAATTCACCTTCTTGTAATTGTTGCACTGCAGTTTTAATTTTCTTCTCTGCCAGGCATGCTGAACAGGTCTCCTTCAGTGCATGTTTGCTTCATTTTTATGATACCAGTTTAACTTGGCAGGAGTTACAGACCTTCACATTAACCAATTATAGTGTCCAGCACAAGCTGACCTCCAGTCCCCTGCTGAGGTTTCAATTTCCAAGACCTGTAATGTTACCACTCTTACGAACAGGATGCAAACACATTAGAAAACTCTGCTTTACAGCGCTGTCTCCTTTGGCATCATTATTGGATCATTATTTGATCTCAAATCTTTTCAAGTTCTTCATTAGAGCAGCATTTAAATGTAGCATATGCTCTTTCCTATGAGGAGGAAAGCTAGTATGTTTCCTGACTGTGAGAACTGTCTGCAGGGATGGAAACGTGTCGCTGCAGGAGTACATGGCGTTCATGATCAGCCGTGAAACTGAGAACGTCAAGTCTAGTGAGGAGATCGAGAGCGCCTTCCGAGCCCTCAGCGCTGAAAACAAACCCTACGTCACTAAAGAGGAGCTCTACCAGGTCAGACATGTTCTGCTCAGTGTGTCAGTGTCAGGTTATCAGTGGTGGTCTCATTGTTGCCTTCTTTCTTTCAGAACCTGACTAAAGAGCAGGCAGACTACTGTCTGTCACACATGAAGCCCTACCTCGACAGCAAGGGCCGCGAGCTGCCGTCAGCTTTCGACTTTGTCGAATTCACTCGCTCGCTCTTTGTCAACTGATCCTTTCCCCACCAGTGACCAATCGGGAAGCGTTTCCCACACACACTTCAATATGAACACACAGCTGAAACTGCATGATCGTGGCACTAGCAATACTCACCAATACCAAAACTCTGTACTCTATTTATCTCGCTCTGACCTAACTCTTTGTGCTTCTCATGGTAGTGAATGTGATTGTTTTTAGCCATTTTAGCTTGTGCTTTCAGTAAATTTAAGAACCTTGCAACAATGATGTAACACCACCTTAACATTTGCAGTGTGCTTTAATAAACGCTACTGGTTAAAACTGGAATCTGCTGTTCTGCATTTATTTCTGTTTCAGACTTGGAACCACAGTTGTTGTCAGTGAGTCAGGCTGGTGCAGTCTCTGTCCTAAGCTAATCTGTGTCACTCTGCCACTTGATTGGCTATTTTCTCCAACTGGCTGATCTCTCTGGGGCTCTGCTCCATCAAATCGGCACTCAGCTGCCAAATGTTGACTGTCCCATCGGTTTTTCCAACCGCCAAGAGGTGAGGTTTCTGACAGTTGAAGGCCAAACAAGTTGCAGCTTGGTCCGCATCTCCCTGCTCAATTGTAGCTGCTGCTCTCAGTGACCTGTGGCTCAGGTCGAACATCTGCACCTCACCTAGGAAAGTTACACACATGAAGAATCTGTTTTACACGCCGATGTACTGTTGGCTTTCTCCAAGAGGCTTCATTTCTTCATTGTAACCCCACACACGCAGGTACATTTGAAATCAGTGTACTACCTTTTCCAGTGGCTGCAGCAAAAACCAGCGGCCTGGTTGGTGACCACTGCACCTGAAAAATGTAAGAGTCTGAAACTCTGAGAGAGAGCAGTGGACTGGCCTGCAGCAGCGAGTGAAGGTGGACCAGACCATCAGTTGATCCACTCACAAACAGATTCCTGTAAAGACCATGAGACAGATGTCACTCATGACAAATGTGAAAAGTAAACCCCCTCCTCTTTAATGAATTTATTGTGTGTGTTCTGCAAGTTTACCTGTGGAAGGGGGAGCAGTGTATGGAATGGACAGGGCCGCTGCGGGGCCTAAATGAGAAGACTGCCGGGGCTCTTAGTGTTGCATTCTGGCCCTCAAAGGCTGTTGCAGCTAGTGTTTGAGAAGAGAAGGAGCATCTGAGCAGCAGGCCTCCCTCAGACCCCACGAGGAAGGTGTCAGAATCCCATGGGGACAGAGCCATTGACGTGATACCTACGGTGCTGTTGCTGCGAGCCTGAGGACAACACAAAAATCGGTCTTTTACACAGAAGCATGGTGAGCAGAGGACTGCAAGAAGAATTATGTTCTGTGTCTGGAAAAAATTTGTGTATTATCACTTGTTTACCTGAACTGGACTTTTGCATTAATTACTCAAACTATGACCATCTAAGTAAGTGGGCAGTGGACAAGTCAGCCAGGGACTAGAGTCTGAACCATGGTTTGAATAACCCTCATCACTCAGGCCACTCAGACCAAGTCCATTCCAAAGACTTTGCAACCTGTGACTTTCTCTTTTTTTCTATATATTCCTCCTGTTTGTTATTTATTCCTGCTGTCTTACCATTTATATTTTATTCCTCTTCAGTTGGTGCAGAGCACCCACAATTTCATTGTACATGTACAATGACAATAAGGAGCTATTCAATTCTATAAAGCACTCTACCAAAACCACTCAGTTGGCTCTTTTCAGGGTCACATTTTCACTGATTCTCTTCATTTTTATTGCGCTCTTAGATAGAAGTCATATTATTAATATAAACAACAGGAAGTCAGCCGGTGGGGTCTTTGCTATGCTACTGCCTGAACATTTCCAAACCATGTGAAACATCTCGGTACCTCATGAAAAAAAACAAAGAAGATCTAAAATGTTTACTCAGTAGTAGGATGGTCTACCCCCTGAATCAACACACTGATCCAGGGGATAGACCATATTCCCTCCCTCCTTCCAATGTTATTGCTAACATTCATTTCAATTTTTTTATATAGCGTCACTGAGGCGTTCCCTGTCCAGCTGTCTCTCCAGTGTGTCTGCCCCGGAGCTTCCTCAGGGTGGCACATGCCCAGAACACTCAGCCAGGAGGTGCCCAGGAGGCATCCTTGTTAGATGCTCAAACCACCTCAACTGACTCCTTTCGACGTGGAGTAATTGCTCTACTTTGAGCCTCTCTTGGATGGCTGAGCTCCTCACTCTGTCACCCTTTGAAGAAAGCTAATTTCTGTTGTTTGTGTCTGCGAGCTCGTTCTTTCAGTCACTACCCACAGTACATGACCAGAAGTGATGGTGTGGACGTAGATCGCTTCGCCCTTATACTCAGCTCCCTCTTCATCACTGCAGCCGCAACCCCAATCCGTCTGTTGATCTTCCCTTTCCCCTCACTCGTAAGCAAGACCCCGAGACACTTGCGGCAGCAACTCGTCCCTAACCTGGGCACTCCACCCTTTAATGGCTTAGCACCATGGCCACAGAATCAGAGGTGCTGATTCTGATTCCTGCTGCAAACCATTCCACTGCGACCTGATGAAGTCAAAAAAATCAACATCATCTGCAAAAAGCAGACAAGATTCTGAGACCACCAAAGTGGAAGCCTTCCACCACTTGTCAAAAAATCATGAACAGAATCTGTGACAAATAGTAGCCCTGTTGGAGTCCAACACTCACTAAGAACAAGTCCAACTTATTGCTGTTAATGTGGACCAAGCTCTTGCAACAGTGGTATAAGGATCAAATGGCCCGTTGCTATAAGCCAGACAAAATACTCAGAGGGTCTGCCAATCCAGAAGTACCCCCGCCCCCCGCCCGATCTCCATGTCCAGATCATTACAACATCCAGCGCTTTCAGGAACTCAGGATTAACCTCATCCACCCCAAGGGCCCTGCCGCCAAAGACTTGTTTAACTGCCTCAGTGACCTCACCCACAGTGATGGGGTGATGAGTCGTCCCCCTTATCCCACTGGGACACTCCTGGGGAAAACCTGGTCTTGTTAAGAGAGACACCATCCATCCCACTTTGGATGGAGCAGCTTTCATTTCTACAAATCTGGCCAAACTGACTGTGTTGAACTTGCCTTGTAGGGTGTCCCAATCTAGCTATGAGCAAGTTCACATAAAAGGGGCAGCATACAACCAGTCACAATAAGGATGACTAGTGGCAGTACAATAGCCATACAAAAGAGAAGACTATAATCCCTTATGTTAATTCTCTCAGCTGCATCGGTGAGTTTGAGATCAAGTAGAGAAGGAGTATAAAATGCGGAGATTTCTGTGAATGAGACCAAACAACCTTTTATTAGCTGCTACAAACAGGAAATACTATTTAGTGACAAGGTTCCGTCCAGTCACCGGTACTGGGTGCAATTACAATCACATTACATTTATCAGTAACAGTAGGACATCCATCCATCCATCCATTCGCTTCCGCTTCTCCTTTCCAGGGTCGCGGGGGGCGCTGGAGCCTATCCCAGCTGTCATAGGGCGAGAGGCGGGGTACACCCTGGACAGGTCGCCAGTCTGTCGCAGGGCCAGCACACAGGGACAGACAACCATTCGTGCTCACATTCACACCTAGTGGCAATTTGGATTATCCAATTAACCTATCCCCACAAGCTGCATGTCTTTGGACGGTGGGAGGAAGCCGGAGTACCCGGAGAGAACCCAGGCAAACACGGGGAGAACATGCAAACTCCACACAGAAAGACCCCGGCCTGATGGTGGAATTGAACTCAGGACCTTCTTGCTGTGTGGCAGCAGTGCTAACCACCGTGCTGCCCTAACAGTAGAACATGCTGTACTAATTGTTGTTTTTGGGTTCATACCTAAAAACTAAGAGAAAGATCATATGTGTATCCTCATTAGGATAGGGATTTGTGTTGGTGTGTAGGGCTGTAGCCTCGGGTTTACATTGTTAACTGGTAATAAGAGTAATGAGCAATGAGTGATAAGTAAATAGGAAGTAATGTGACTAGTTTAACGAATTGCTTTCTCCAGCAGGTAATTAAGTAATTTTAGCTGCATTACTTTTAAGAAAAGTAATGTGTAATACATGACATTTTTTGAGTAATGCCCCCAACGCTGGCAGTCAAAAACAGAAAATGCTGTGCCTACCTTTTCCATTGTGTTGCACCTCCACACCACCATAACATTCAGGAATTTCAAAGTGTTGTTTTTCTGCAGATGAAGAGTTCAGCCTGAAGCTCACCTTGAAACGGCTGCTGCTGTGGGGAACCTGCTGTTGTAGCACGGCATAGGCGGCTTTCTGGACAAAACTGCCTTGCTCAAAACCAACCGTCCACAGCAGCACTCTTCCTCCCGAGCAGGCACTGAGCACCCCGAACTCTCCCTTCTTCTGCAGAGGCACCCAGGAAACCTGCACACATAAATCCTCCCTTCACACTCATGCAAGACCACCAAGCAGGGTCATGCCTGGTTAATATTTGCATGGGAGACTGCATGTCCATTTACCATTTACTTTACTCTGGAATAATGCTATTTCAGGTTATCCTGGAGTGCTGTGATCAAGTTCAAGTGTGTAAGATCAAGCAACATGCAGCAGGATGAAGAGAGTTTAGCAGAAATGCCAAAAGCATTGTTTCCTCTTACCTGGTAAACAGGGTCTCTGTGGCTGTCTGCAGACAACCCAGTTTGAGCCACTACAGAGTCTTGAGTCTGACTGGTGTCCCAAATCACCACTTCTCCACTGTACAGACCCCCTGCAGCGACAGCATTACACACAATAAATAATTCAGTATTAAAGTCATCAAACAGCTACTTAAAAGAAGCTTTGTGAAGTCTGGGAAAGGCAGCACCGATCATGCTGTCAGTGATTTCTCAGCCAGATTAGGAGCAACAGTCAAGAGACAAGTAGCAGCTGATGAAGATGGTCAGACAGACCAAGATAGGGATGAGGCTTTATGATAGCTTTATTAACTTTGAAGGATTTAAAACAGCTAGATTTATTTTGGCCAATACAGCTGATCCTAGTAGAAGACAAAGGAGCACCAATGACAGCAGACAATGCTCAGATATTACCAATACTCTGAACCAAAGATTATTCTCAGATATGGTCACAATGTCCCCTTCGAGTCGTGAATTTCTGAATATTAAAGAAGATCAAGTTCACCTCACATTTCAAGCTGGCAGTAGTTAAACTATTACTTAAAAAGCCATCACTTAATACTATGTTTAATACTTTGGAAAAGAGTTATTAGGGCATATTTATTTCTGTGAAGGTGGCATCACTGTACCTGCGATGAGGGAAGGCTGGTTGGGATGACAGCACAAAGCTGTGACTGCAGTAGGAACATCTATGACCAGGTCCGCCTGACTGTGATGCAGGCCTCGACGGTCCAGGTTCCAGGTGCAAACACATGACTTCTCATTGCTCCAGTCTCCATTGTCAATCCTGCCCACCATAAACACAGATCTGAGCCACAATGATAACAGCAGAGCTTTTCCAGCAGTTTACACTTTTTATGACCTGGAGAAAAACATCAGGAAATAATAAGTGGACTGTTCGTATCGTATACATTAACATCAGACACACATACCGACCATAGGCACAGGCAATGACTGAGCCAGTACAACTCCAGGAAACACTAGTGACATGCAGGCCTTTCTCTTTAGCGCCGGGATGTTGAAGGGAATGGATGAGTAAGACCTGAAAGATGGAACACCGTCATACAGAGATGTGAACAGGTTTTAGGCGAATCAAAACAGCGATCTGCTGTGCTGATGCCTTGTGAATAACGGGACAGCTGAAAGTAACTTTTTAGTGCAATGTTTCACTTTCACTTCATGATAAAGACCATCAGGTAGTAATATGACCATTCTAGATTCCTTCTGCAGCAGATGACAAACCCTCTCTGACATACAAACGAGTGTTCTGCTTACCCGCTGACTGTGGTCTTCCCAGCTTGCCTGAAACCCGTCAAAGGCATGGCTCTTGACATTTTTCATTAACTCTCTGACGACCATGTCTTCAACCTGCTGTAGGAAGTCCTTCAAGCCAGGCGGCTCTGGTTCATCTTGGTTTTGCTGGATGAGCTGCTCTGTGGCCTGCTCCTGTAGCTCTGTCTGAGTAGAGCTGATGGTAGTGGAAATGACCTGGACCTCTGACTCAGCACTGCGAAACATCTGAGTCTGACATCCTTTCTGAAACCCCAGCAAAAATAATGGTCTTTTTACTAAGGAAGCAAGAAAGGTGAGATGCCTTATGTGATTCACAGTTCAACATAATCCTTATGTATCTTATAAGCCCTGGTTTAGCCCATCGCTTCATCCACAGTATGCATAAAAGAGAGACAAAGCCACAGTGGAATCACTCATTGGTTTCGAATGTATTTTGAAGGCTCAATGTTAGCATTTTGGCCACTGTCAACCAGATGTTTGTGTGCTACTGTAAGTCCATGGTGTGTCCGCTCCAGAACTGCATAAGCAGAAGGATGGAGAATTGGGTTTTCCAAAAGGTATGAACAGCACAGATACAGTTAAAAGAGCCTAGCAGACACGTATCAGCTATTGCTGCCCAGGGAAATACCTGTTATTTTAAAAAGCCACACTCAGAAATTTAAGACTTTCCTGTTTAATTACAGGATGAGCTTAAAGGCATTAAAATAATTTTAAAAAAGAATGATGTTTTGATTAGCTGTCCCTTGCAAACAGAAGGTCTGAACCCCAGGTAGGTGGGGCTTTATCATTACTCAAGGCCACAGCTGTGTGCCTGATCTTACTGAAACAGTGATATCTTCTGCCACTGATATACAGAGAGCAAACACTGTGTCTCAATGCGTCTAGAAGTGATCCGCCCTCATCATTTGAAATCGTGGTCATGTTTAATAGATGTAACCTGCCATAGATAATGCAACATTGTCTATGGCAGGTTACAAGAACAAGAAGAAGTGTTTTCTATCAACGTTAAGTCGGTGCAGTCTGCATGAAATGTCCCTGTTTGCTTGATGCTGCATATTTCATGATGTCATCTTGCAATGCATTCTCCTCTGAATGCAAACGCGTCCACCCAGGAACACCTGAACACGCACGTGTTGCATCAGCTAAAGTTAGCTTCGGATCCAACCAATATTCTGCAACTGTAGACAGCAAGCAGGTCGCTGTCCAGGCTAACAGAGTTCTGTGGGGGGCAGACTCGGTGCTGCCCAAACTTACCGACTCCTGCGCCGCCTCGTGAGACTTCCTCCACAGTGACTGGACACTCACCGTGTCCAGGGCTTCGTCTGCGAACATGCTAATAAAAAGGCATTATCAAATGTTTTAACATTGATCAGCTAAACTCTAAGCACTCCGAGGGCCGTTTGACGCCCTTGGAGCCATTTTACATAAAGCTGGCGTTACCGTGGTTACTGAGATTATCACGCGAGGCAAGAAATAAATCCCACATTCACTTCCGTGTTTGTAGGCGTGAACCAGCGGACATCTTCAGCGTTAAACCCGTGTTCACTAATTGCGGCGGTTGATAATTACATTTCTTTTAAAATACATACGAACAATGGTGTATAGTCTAAAAGATTACCCGTCTGTATGTTGTTAAAAAACTAAGAGTTTATCAGCCTGTCACCGAACTCGGGATGATCTCAAAAGGTCGACTTCGTTCATTTGGACATGGCGTTTGCAGTGGGAGAAACGTTTCGTCATCTAAGCGATTTCTTCAGTCTCAGCTGACTCCAGGTTCCCCCTCCTTATTATAAGCAGTACATTTGCACAGTGACTGAAACTAGCACCACTGAATGAACAATGGGCTGTGAGTTCAGTGGACGAATTTTGGGCGCAGTGTGTTTTGAGCTTTAAAAGCTCGGATGAGTGACGAAACGTTTGTCCCGCTGAAAACGCTACGTGCAGATAAACAGAATCAACCTTTGGGGATTTACTTATTGCGTTTTATGATTTGCAAACCTCTGTGATGGGTCTATGCAAGACAAAACCTTTCCATGTATGAATTTGGCCAAGTATTCTGTCAAGATGATCTCCTTGTATGTGCTTGAACCATTTTCAGAGCAGTGGCTGTTAAGCGGTCATCTGTAGTTGTATCTCTTGATGCAAATATAGCCAGTGGTGAGTGAAGATTGTGTTTTTATGCTTGCAGCCCTTTTGTAGTATTTTCCCAAAAGTCTTGAGGATCATCAAGATGTTTTCTGGCAAAACTCGGAAGATCCTTTATCTTCCTTTTGCTCAGCAGTGGTTTTCGTCTTGGAACTCTGCATGCAGGCCATTTTTGCCCATTTCTGTCTTACGGTGGAGTCATGAACACTGACCTTAACTGAGACAAGCGAGGCCTGCAGTTCTTTGAATGTTGTTCTGGGGTCTTTTGTGACCTCTTGGATGAGCTGTCATTGCCATTTGTGGATAATGGCTCTCACTGTGGTTCGCTGGAGTCCCACAGCTTTAGAAATGGCTTTAAACCTTTCCAGACTGAGAGATTTCAGTTACTTTGTTTTTCATTTGTTCCTAAATTTCCTTGGATCACCACATGATGTCTGACTTTTGAGGATCTTTTGGTCTACCCCACTTTGTCAGGCAGGTCCTATTTAAGTGATTTCTTGATTGTGGCTAGAGAAACTGAACTCATCTTTCCAAAGATGGGATGCACCACCGTTCATTTATGTTATAACATATCTATATACGTGTTAGAATATTTTTCATATTAAATTCTCACATAAAATATTTGATCCTGCCCATTAAGCTGTAATGTATGGGGTCCACATTAATCAGAGCTGTACCCATTATAATAAACACTCCACAAAATCTACATGCAGAATTGTGCAGATATATTTTAATTGTAAAGTACTGTGCAAAAGTCTAACTCTCATTCAGCCTAATGCAAAAGTTAATAAACTTCTGTTTATTAAAACAGACCGAAGGATGACAACATAGAATCATATGATTTACATCATTTCCATTAGTCAAACCATAAAGTAATCTCTTTTGTCATGAGAGGTTTTATCATTCTGGAAGAGATAACTCCCATCAGAATAGAAGTTATTTATTAAGCTAAGAGGACGAACTGAAGGAGCACACAGCATATGATAAATGAGGATTATTCTGAACTGTGAAACATGCAAAGCTACTCTAATAGCTTTCAAGAATAGTTCAGGAATAAATCCAGAGTTGGGAATGATTACAATAGGTCCACATTTACTGGTTCTTTATCACGCCTCTATATAAATAGCAACACTATGTACTTGCTGTTAGAAATAACTTTTCTAGTCTTACTGACCATTCATGTTCCTTTAGGCCTAACACTCCCACAGCACTTTAATCTACTTCATATCTATAGCCAAGTAAGAAACCCCAGTTAACTTAACATGTCTTTGGACTATGGGAGGAAATACCTAGAGGAAACACACTAGAACAGGGAGGGCATATAAACTGTAGTTAGAAATTCCTTCACCTTATGCTGAGATGACTGCTTACTGCCACCCACTATATGTGATCCAAACAACTAAGTAAACCTGACTTTGCCATGCGATGACTCTGCTGGGTCCACTAAATACACTTCTTTGATTGCAGACAAATGGTAGTTTGTTTAAGTGACCAAAATGTAATTTAAATAAACACGTGCAAAACTGTTTTCAAACCTGAGGCAGCCCAAATAATTTATTTTAACATCCACTAGCAGCAAAGTCATAAACAGTGAGGGTAAAGGTCACACTGAAGAGCTAGTAGCTTCCAATAATTCTCATGTAAGAAATTGAAAGAGGCTTTTCTTAAAGTAGCTAATCACTAGAGTCAGCCAGAACCTGCTCCCAGTTGTAATTATAAAAGTGACATTCTAACTTTTCTGGACAAATATTTCTGGAAGTCAATTCACTTTTGCCAAATACAGATAATTTTTCCCAGTATGATTTATCCTTAAACAGTGCTTACACCATTAAAGAATCACACACCAAACAGATTTTGTCAGCTGTTTGACCAGAGGCCTGTGCTATGTAACGGGATCAAGTCAAAGGCTTTACAGGGGTACACCAACACAGTAACATGCTGTAGACCTAACCTGCTACAGATGTTCAAGATGAACATGAAATCAATTCTAGCATTACCATTCCTGGAAAAGAAGATCACTCAGATAGTGGTAGGATGTAAAGTCATTGGACAGGCCTAATAGCACTAATCCTGTGAGCACATGAGAAAATGGGATGTTGTGAGATTGGTTATGTTAGCTGAACTGGCTAAATGTGATCAAACTACTCCAAACATCATGTATACATTTATTTATTATAACAAAGTAACTAGTACACTTAATTTAATGGGAACAGGTCTCTAGCAGTACAGGAGAAAAGCTGCAGACTCCAGAGGACTCAAGAGAACAGCGTAGTCTCCCATCTGAACGTGTTATACTAACCTAGAACTGAGTTTTAGTGTAATCAAATGTACATTACAACTCTTTGTTGTGGGTGCCTGGAAAACAAGACAATGAAACTTTATTTAACAGAAGTCCAGAGTTGGTGTCAAAGTCCCCCTGCCCAACCATACCCTCCCCCATTAAACTGTGTACAATTAACTGGCCTACCAAGATACATGGATATCCCAAAACATTTACAACAGTTCAAAGGAACAAGCTGGTGCTTTTAATCAGTTCATTAATACAATAAGTCACAAAGGAAAATGCAGCTTCTAATAAGCCTCATTACCCCCACCACTGAATATATAATAATAAACACATACACATATGTATACACACACACATATATGTATATATATATACATACGTGTGTATTGATATATGTGTGTATGTTATATGTACGTGTGTGCGCGCATATTATATATATAATATGCGCGCACATGTATGCGCTAAGGATGCTATGATTAAGTTATCACTGCACCATGGCTTATTTTTATTGAACTCACAACTTCAACAGAAACTGTTTTTATTGTACATACAAATTGTTATTGTATGGAGTTTAAATCTACATAGAATGACGTGCAGAATGCTACAAATTTTTTTTTTAATTCTTTTGCATGTCTTTGGGAGATGTAGAGAAATAATGACAGGTGAAAAATCCAGAGAGCCACTGACACCTGCACCTCCACCCCTCTGCAGACCCGCTGTGTATGGAGCTGGTCCTCAGACAATATCTGCAGGCTGTGGCTGCAGAGGAAGAGGACGGACAGGGTGACAACACACAGACCCCCCCACCCCCCCACCCCAAAAAACAAACAAAAAAAAGAAATTTGCTCCCATGAGTTGAAGAGAGACCACGGAGCGAGGATGGAGAAAAGGTGTTGACTGAAACCTTTAATCATCTTCGCCGTCATCCTGGAAGAAGAAGAAGAACAAAAGTATTACAACACAATCATTCAAAGATGTCACCACAGCAGTTTTATTAGCACTCACGTGAGCTAATTACAAGCAGCTTCCAACTACAGCAGCAGCTTTTACATCAACTTGCTACAGGTCTGATAATTTAATTAACTCCGCAAACACAGAAGACAAGGAATGTCACATAAACCACCCGATCCTATACTACGACAACAAATACAATACTACAGTAATGCCACCAGAATACTGGAATAATACAATCACAACAATACAATAATATGGTAGCAACACTAGAACAGTACCAGGTAAAGCCACAATAATATCACTGTAATCCTGTAATAAGACCAATATAATAGTACCAATATAATTACTAGTTTAAAATAGCCTGAAATACACAATGTCTCTATATCATAAGACTTACTGGTCTACAATAACTACACTACGATGTGACAACTCATGTTATACTAACTAATACTATTAATAATGCATGTGTCAGTTGTTGCCATGTTTATACTGCAATAATACCACCATAACAGTACAATATCACTGTAATACTAAATTTCTACCAATGTAATGATATAATACTAATGTAACTCTGTAATACTGCATTACCAACACTGTGCAGTTATATCACTCAGCCGATTGGGATATAAGAACTACAATACTACAGCCATGACACCGCAATTATAGCATTAAGTTAGTATTTTAACAGTAATATCATGCTAAAACACTAAAGCTCCGAGAAAGCAATGATACCACAGCAATGCTACAATAGCACTGTAACGATGCAACTTTGTTAACTATAAAATTACTGACTGTGCTGGTTTTGTTTAGTTTTATTTTTGTAATTTTAGATACACTTTACAGATGAATGAGCCACCAAAGGCCATTTATTCAGAAATACTGATAATACCATGAAACTGCCAGATTATTAAATGACACCACTTCATCAATTTTCAGCAATACAAGAAAGCTGAAATTACAATCTGATGAATGGCCCAGCGCTGCCTTTAGAATTACTAACATGCTAACTCAATTTATTGAGCAGAGTTGTTCCAAACAGTCAGGCTAAAATTACAATAAATCATAGCTACTACTAACAAAATGCTCAGTTTTATCTGTTTTAAATGACCTCTGAGAATCAGTGTGACATCAGATTGGGGTTTGTTTGTGTATTTATTAATATGTCTCTCTTCTTTGTTTAGCGGGTGAACAACAGCAGCACATTTGATAAGTTTGACCTTGATAAGCTGTTGTTAGAATTTATTTACTTTCTACACCAGGATCCTTTTCTATGTAGCTGACGGCCTGTATCTGTGCAATCTGTGGTAAAAAGTGGGGGGGGGCCACAAAGACATACTTTTCTTTCTTAATCTCATTTAAAATGTCTAGCTTTTAATAAATAATTATCTGAATCTTACACCCAAAGTTTTAATCTGATGTAAAATGCATAGAAGTTCATTACTGTATATAGTAACTGTTAAGTCTAATATACCCTAGTAAGCTATAGTACTTTTTCCTTTGGGAAGATACCATCTGTGCAGTCTGCAGTTCTGTTGAAGAAAGATGTTACTATGAAATATTTTGGGTGCAGTGTATTTTTTGCATTCAAGTATAACAGAATAGCTGTAGTGTTTTTTTGTTTTTTGTTTTTTAACTTGAGTATGAACTTATACAAAAAGTAGCAAGATATTAAAAAAACAGTTTTATTGATTAAAAAACACTATATCGGATTCATATCGGTATCGGCAGACATCCAAATTTATGACATCGGTATCGGACATAAAAAAGTGATATCGTGCCATCTCTAGTTCTAACACCATCTTTCTCAGCACAGCCAACTTACATCTTCATTTTAGGCAGATTTGATTCACTTTTGTAACAGCCCTCTTTACAGTAATGTTTTTGGATAACCGATAAGATGAAGTGATGAGGTGAAATTATTAAAATGCTTAGAAACATTACAACTGTATGTGCTCTGAACTGGGCTAAACCGTCTGCATTAGTGTTGCTGGTTTCATGGAGATTGTATTTTGTAGTTTGGCAAAGCATAAAACTTAATTGTCAAAAACATTCAATACCCAGAATAGTTAATGAAGCTATATAAAAGCAACTTCATAAAAACAGTCCTAAGGACCCACTGAACCCCTTTCCTCACCTCTCCATCTTCCCCATCACCGTCCTCATCTTCATCTTCACCCTCTTCTTCCTCCCCTTCATCAATATCTTCCAGTCCCTCTTCTTCTTCATCATCATCATCGCCATCGCCTTCCTCATCCTCCATGTCTGGGACCTTGGGAACATAAGAGAAAGGTTGAAGAGATTGTTACTTTAGCCAAAGATTCACTTTGGTTACTACTTCTGTTTACTAAATATTTCTGGATACAATTCCAAAACTAAAGCATCTATCAGTTCCCTTAACTTGCCACCAACAACCACACTCAGACAAAAAAGCACCTCCTGTTTTTACTGGCTCACTCACTCAGCCAGAGTTAAACGGGTCAAAATGAGATCTGGATCTGCCAGCGAAAGCAGCTGTGTTACTTGGGTCTAGATTCAGTGAGAAACAAAACAAAAAAAACCCTCCAGTCTCCTGGAACTAAATCTGAATTACATCGGCATTGTGAAAAGGAGCTTATTCCACTCTTTGAAATTGATGATGACTTTGTTCATTGTGCTGAAGGCGAAACTACGAGTACGATGCAGATGAGCGGAGGCTGTTCATTGATGGTCCAAAACTCAAAAACGGTCCTACTACACCACTCAGACTGGAAGCCAAGACTTTGTCGAGTGTTGTCAAGTTCTTTCCACAAAGTCGAGTTTTTAAACCGTTATAACATCTCCCTCTGGTGTCAGTATGTCTGAGCTTCTGTGCATGATTCTCATTAAAATGGCGGTAAAAAACGATATGGTCATAAACTTGCATCTTCAACCCAGCTGCGACAGCTGAGATGCAATGCGCCAAGTTAGAAAACTCGAGAGGTATACAATTGGCCGAGGCGACACAGGATGTGACGTGAAAATCGTCACCAGACACCGACACAAGGGACACGGCGATTATAAAAACAGCGTGTGTAGAAGAAACCAAGTGAAGAGGCCAATCTTACCAGGTAGTACTGCAGTGGGTTTGGCCAAATGTCATCCTTGATCACTTCTCCCAGTTCATCAGCCCCTGCATCCGAGTGGTCAGTAAACCAGGTGAAGAAGCTCTCTGGCTCCTCATGCTGCCTTTTCTTCCCAGCTTTGTTTGGCGTCTGACCCGTACGTTTTGTCAGGTCCTGATGAGCCAAAAGATGACATTTTTTTGACGAACATAATCAAAGGGCAACTTGGGGAAAATCATTGTAACCGTATTGTACAGTAGTACATATAAACAGAACTGGATTTATAAAGGAAAAAAAATCCAAAGCACATAAAAGTCTAACGGGGAAAAAAGAGAAAAACAAAAACCAACCTTTCCAGCTTTCCATTTGATTTCAGATGATTTGGAAACCGGGTCGCCGCTCTCGTTTACATTAAACTCTTTGGAGAGGGCTTTGTTCTCGAAGTACGGATTCTCGTCAAAATACTTCAGGAAAGAAAACATTCCAATCAGAATATGGCATGCCAGTTACAATCCATGAATATTACATGAACCTGACAACTCACAAAATCTATTCTATATCCAGACTTTATGTCCTCAAACTCCGTGACCTCCACCCTTGACAAGTAATGAAGTGCTTCCTCGTCCTCCTCTCCCAGAAGAGCTGAAACTAGAGATCAGGTTATGCTGTTAGATCCCATTTCTTTATGTGAACATTTAAAATCACTTAATAATAATTTACCATAACCGATTAACTTTTAGTTCCCGATGGTGACTCTTACGCTCTTGACAGTTCAGAGTCACCATGAACACAGCAGCAACAATCATTTTCATTTAATTACCTTGTGGATGGTTGACGAACGTTGTGACCCAGAAGTTGGGGATTTTGGCTATGATTTCTGATCGCTTCTGAAAGAATGGCTGGCGTAATTTATTGTACTTCTGCTCTACTTTTAAAATTTCTTCACTAGCCTGTTCATTCAGTCTGATGGAGAGAGAAAGACAAAAATGTGATCAATAAAACAGTTTTCTGCAAATTTTTTCCCCCCAGTACTGATACAGAAGATTCAAACTCACCTGTCAATTTCATTCTGTACTTCATCAATGTGCTCAATTGCTTCCTGCTGCTCTTTTTCTGAAAGAACAAAGAAATGTTTGTTTTTTTTAATTAAGGATTTTGGAGTTTTAAAAAAGTTCAAAATAACACCATTCAGCCTATTCGTTAAAGAGTATTTGTGAAATTAACATGACATGCAGACAAAAATAACAATGCACACAATAGACATGTTACACCATAAATGTGAATTATATATTGATATTTTCACTGGACTGTGCACACCCCAGAAATAGCAAAATTGTACAAGGTTAGTCTCGAATCCTTTTGGCCTAAGGAATGAACTAATTTAGGTAATATTCAGGAAAACTGCCATGAATAAAAATAAGAAAATCTCAATATATGTCATGACAGAAAATAATATTGATATGCTTTTATTCATCTTCATCAACCCTGGACGTACAACTATGACTTTTTTCTTTTTAAATAATAACTTGGCTGACAGCCAGCACACTTTTTCTTAGAAGCAAAGAGACCGTCATTATAAAAAAAATATTTTAGAACACTTCAAATTATTTTTGAACTTCAGGAAACAGCACGTACAATGGGTGAGTACCAACTGAACGGAAGGTAACTGGGAGCATGTCTGCATTTCTAATATTTACAAATAGAGCCTGGTAGTCTGCCGTGTTAAATCAACTATATGCTGATAAAATGCCATTTACTTTTAGACAAATATAGTTAGACAAGTAGATGTTTTTTGTTGTTTGTTTTTGCTTCCCTCGTACAAACCGGATGATACACAGAAACAAAAGAAACAGACTTGTGAAGTTTCAACTTTGGCCAAACTGCAACTTTGATCGGTTCAGAACTTCAATTCATAGAGACATGAACCAGCTTAACACCTCATATCAGTATATAAATAAAATGCATTGTATATAATTATTTCGAAAAAGTGAATCAAGAAACCAGGCTTTATACAGCCTGAACATGATCAGCGTATTTAAACATTTTAAAAGTGCTATGTTGACTGGATGTTGAAGAGACTGATGATGGTCCATGGCAGACAGACTCTGTGCCTCCTGCAGTTTAGGCGCTTCCTGTTACTGCTAAAGGCGGCCTGGTTTGAATGCGAGGCTTAGCGACGTCTCCGCTGTCTGCTCCCCTCTGATAACAACACACCACCCGGTCCACCAAGGATCCCTCCGCGTGTTCCACACATATACTGTCCAAATCCCCCATTTCCAATCCTGTTTAAATGACCAAGTACAGAAGCGCCGGTTTACCATATACACAGACACGATCTCAATAGACGGGCTCCCGTGAACGTTACCCCGCAGCAGCTAACCTTTCCGTTATCGCTGCTCGGCCTCTCTGGGAAAGACTTCTGCACTTGCTAACAATGAGGCCATTTAAGAAGCTACAGCAACAAACGCGTGTACGGAAATGTGCAGGGGCGTGCAGTTCCATCACTACTTCTCCAAGGGCAAACTTCTCAAACCGAGAACAATAACCACACATCCCGCTAAACGCAAAGTAGACACTGGCCTCCAACACGCTCATCAACTAACGCTGGCAGCTAATTTAGGCTAACAGCTAGCACCCGCTCACGCTGCCTAGCATGCTACGTTACTGAAAAGCGCTCCACAGCAACATTCTACCCTGACGTGTATCTGCAGGAAAATATTAATTTAGCTTTTCATCCGCAATCACGCGTACCAAACCACACACCACACTGAGCTGAGAATAACAAAATCACGATAAACAAATGAAAATGGCGTTGTACAGGATAAGCGCCATTCCTTAACGTTACCAGAGGTCTCGTCCGCTCCGTCGTGATTTGAATTCTCCTTCCTACTGACTTTTGCCGATGAGGCCGACATGGTTATCGTTTGTTGTGACTCTTTCGACCAGACGTATATCCAAGGCGGTTCAAAACTCTTCTCCACAGGACAAAAGTTACTTCCACCTTGGACAGAGTGCGTGTCTCGCAGTACACGATAAGGAGGAGGACTGAGCGCAGCTTTGCACGCTCGTTTCTCTCTGCGACTTACCGTAGCTAAACATATCTGTGGTGCTCTACTGCCTCCGACTGGTTGGAGTCCGACACTACAACTTAAAGCGACAGCTTGTACAAAGAAGTTAAGCCTCCACTACCCAGTAAACCACCTTTTCTTTTAGTACGAAATTTCACGGCTACTTCATAACATATATTCGTCAAAATACTTCAGGAAAAGAAAACATTCCAATCAGAATATGG